TGAAATTATTTAATATAATTTTAAAATGTAGTACAATTAACAAAAATACCACAACTAAGAAAATATGAAACCATGTTCTTGAAAACAACGTAGTAGAGGTAGGCGCGGGTCGGTTCGGTTCGGTTCGGTTTTAAAGCCGAACCGAACCAAATTAAATTTTCGGGTATCTAGTAAATGGAACTGTCGGGTCCAAATATAATTATGGAACTGTTCGGGTTCGGTTACGTTTGATTTCATTCGGTTCCGTACTATAATTAAATTTTTTAATATTTATAACAATATTGTATAAATACAACTAATGATACATTCAATGATTTTGAAATGTCAGAGACTAGTAGATTACATTGTTCTAATAATCGCTACGGTCAAAGTTTCGATCGACGGAGGTTACAGCTTCGATTAGAGGTCACAGTGTCGGCCGACGATTGTATAGGTTTTGGAATGTCAGCGAAGCTGCGAGAGTGAGTGCGAGAGTCGAGACGGCGTTATACACTTTAGTGTAGGTATTTAGAATTATTTAGTGGGTTGGATCTTTGTTGAGATAAGAAATGAAACAATAAAATGGGTAATTGGGCCAAAAATAAAAAAAATTAGAAATGAAACAAATTATTGGGCCAAAAATTTTGGATTTAGACATTTTTAATTTGTTTAAAAAAATTAAAATTAAAATAATTTGATTTATTGGATATAAAAAAAAATTAGAAAGATTCGCTTCTTATCCGGTTTTTCGATTCTTGGTCTAGAACCGAATCGTACCCGTCGATTCTCACTTCAGATACCCGTTCGGGTATTTAATTTCACAAGAACCGTCGGGTTCGGTTTGGTTCAGTCGGTTCGGTTCGAGAGATTTGTCCAACCCTACAATGTAGTACATTTCGAATAATCATTAATGTTGCATTTTAAAACTTTTTGTGTACTTTTATTTTAATTCGTTCATCTATTATTATTGATTATTTAATTAAAGTTTATTACAAATGATGATGATGATTATTATTATTATTATTATTATTATTATTGTTATTGTTGTTCTTAATTACTTAATTATGAACTAAGATTTATGTATGATGTAAAATGACACATATAACCTTCATATTAACTTGGTCATACATGAAAAAAGGACAAAATGGGCTTGGTGCAATTAAGGTGCAAGATTTGGTGTTGGGCTAGAGCAGTGTTTTTGGTGAAAATTGGTGAAAATTGGAGGAAGATGGTGGAATGGTGTATGGGTTGGAGACACTCTAATTATCGTTGATCTTAATTTGGTTGTAGATCAACCTTGCCGTTGAGGTCGTCGTGCGGGTTAGCAAGGGGACAAGAGCCCTCCTCTTGGGTGACCAAAATTTAATCTTTAGAAATTGGTATTCTTATAAAATTCTAATAAGAAATTAGAGTTCTTATAAAATTTGAATTTGCCCTAACTTGTCTTATATATAGGGAGTTGTGGTTACGGTTTATTATTATCATCAAAAAGTGAAAAAGTTAGAGAAGATAGGAGTGTGATTTTCTCTTGTAAACTTTTTTTCTCATCGTAGTGAATTATTGCAATGATGGGAGAGGACGTTGTTTCACATTAAAACGAACCTTTATAAATCCTGCATATTTTTTAGTGTTTTTTTCTTTTATGAGAATTGACTTTTCTCGGTATAATAGAATTAGGGTTTCTAATTCTCAACCGTTTGTATATAGAATACGGGAAAACCAAACCGATATGCTGACACACTAATCTTTGAAATGTAGTGCTAATAATTGAGGAATAAGATTAATGATAATAAGAAAGAAGCAATTTTGAGCATCTTTTAGAACGAGTTAATTGATCCAATGGTCATTGAATTTAGGTCCATGTCTTTGATTGGTCACTAAAGTTTAAAATGTCGAATTTTGGCCACAGAGTTTTGAAAAATGTTGTATATTACTCACTAAACTTTGAAAAATATTGTACATTACTCACTGAATTTTGAAAAATATTGTACATTATTCTTTGTAAACTCGATATTTTTCGAAATTTAACAGTTATGCTAATGAGTAATGTACGACATATTTCAAAATTCAGTGACCAAAACTCAACATTTTAAACTTCAATGAACAATCTAAGATATGGACCTAAGTTGAGTGAGCAATCGAAGACATTGATCTAAGTTTAATGACCAAAACTTAACATTTTAAACTTTAGTGACCAATCAAAGACATGAACCTAAGTTCAGTGATCATTGGACCAATTAACTCCTTTTAGAATGACATTTTATTGTCTATGGCTCCGGATTTCAAGATATTTANAAACAATAAAATGGGTAATTGGGCCAAAAATAAAAAAAATTAGAAATGAAACAAATTATTGGGCCAAAAATTTTGGATTTAGAAATTTTTAATTTGTTTAAAAAAATTAAAATTAAAATAATTTGATTTATTGAATATAAAAAAAAATTAGAAAGATTCGCTTCTTATCCGGTTTTTCGATTCTTGGTCTAGAACCGAATCGTACCCGTTGATTCTCACTTCAGATACTCGTTCGGGTATTTAATTTCACAAGAACCATCGGGTTCGGTTCGGTTCAGTCGGTTCGGTTCGGGAGATTTGTCCAGCCCTACAATGTAGTACATTTCGAATAATCATTAATGTTGCATTTTAAAACTTTTTGTGTACTTTTATTTTAATTCGTTCATCTATTATTATTGATTATTTAATTAAAGTTTATTACAAATGATTATTATTATTATTATTATTATTATTATTATTATTATTGTTATTGTTGTTCTTAATTACTTAATTATGAACTAAGATTTATGTATGATGTAAAATGACACATATAACCTTCATATTAACTTGGTCATACATGAAAAAAGGGCAAAATGGGCTTGGTGCAATTAAGGTGCAAGATTTGGTGTTGGGCTAGAGTAGTGTTTTTGGTGAAAATTGGTGAAAATTGGAGGAAGATGGTGGAATGGTGTATGGGTTGGAGACACTCTAATTATCGTTGATCTTAATTTGGTTGTAGATCAACCTTGCCGTTGAGGTCATCGTGCGGGTTAGCAAGGGGACAAGAGCCCTCCTCTTGGGTGACCAAAATTTAATCTTTAGAAATTGGTATTCTTATAAAATTCTAATAAGAAATTAGAGTTCTTATAAAATTTGAATTTGCCCTAACTTGTCTTATATATAGGGAGTTGTGGTTACGGTTTATTATTATCATCAAAAAGTGAAAAAGTTAGAGAAGATAGGAGTGTGATTTTCTCTTGTAAACTTTTTTTCTCATCGTAGTGAATTATTGCAATGATGGGAGAGGACGTTGTTTCACATTAAAACGAACCTTTATAAATCCTGCATATTTTTTAGTGTTTTTTTCTTTTATGAGAATTGACTTTTCTCGGTATAATAGAATTAGGGTTTCTAATTCTCAACCGTTTGTATATAGAATACGGGAAAACCAAACCGATATGCTGACACACTAATCTTTGAAATGTAGTGCTAATAATTGAGGAATAAGATTAATGATAATAAGAAAGAAGCAATTTTGAGCATCTTTTAGAACGAGTTAATTGATCCAATGGTCATTGAATTGAGGTCCATATCTTTGATTGATCACTAAAGTTTAAAATGTCGAATTTTGGCCACAGAGTTTTGAAAAATGTTGTATATTACTCACTAAACTTTGAAAAATATTGTACATTACTCACTGAATTTTGAAAAATATTGTACATTATTCTTTGTAAACTCGATATTTTTCGAAATTTAACAGTTATGCTAATGAGTAATGTACGACATATTTCAAAATTCAGTGACCAAAACTCAACATTTTAAACTTCAATGAGCAATCTAAGACATGGACCTAAGTTGAGTGAGCAATCGAAGACATTGATCTAAGTTTAATGACCAAAACTTAACATTTTAAACTTTAGTGACCAATCAAAGACATGACCCTAAGTTCAGTGATCATTGGACCAATTAACTCCTTTTAGAATGACATTTTATTGTCTATGGCTCCGGATTTCAAGATATTTAATCTTAGAATGCATTATTATTAACATCAATTTTTTTTTTTCAAAATATATTAACGGTCTTGATTGTCATAACACTTGCAGAATCTCTTGTTATATATACGGATTAGAGAGCACTAAGCAATATTGAGAAAGAAATAAAGTAAATTCTTACTTCGGTGTATCATAACATACCACACGTCCTTAATGAGCAGGGCCGGCCTTGGGCCTCAACACTTTGGGAGGCCTCTAAAAAAATTTCCATCCTAGTATTTCTCTTTTTGAATGATCCAAATTTTAATTCTAATTACTATTGTTGATTAGAGCAATGTATTCTACTAGAAACTTAAAATTTAAAGGATTTTGACTTGGATCTCTCATTTATGCATAGACGTAAAGTAAAAAACATATTGTTGTTGTTTTTATATCATACTTATTGTTTTGAGTTCATTAAGCAGTTACAATTATTTACTCTCTTGCTCTATAATGAGAAGATAAGAAATTCAACACTCCTTTGTTAGCATCACTGTTATTTATTTATGTTTCTTCCATTTGTGAGTTAAAATTGAAGTAGTACACAAATTGAAAATGCTTTGATACAAGCTGTAAATTAACTTTCATATTTGATTCAATGCTTGGTCTCTTGATAATAAGATTTCCTATGGAAAATAAATAAAAATTCAAAAAGTTATTTTGTTCAAGAATCGCTATAAATGCAATAAAATAAAATAAAATAAAAAATCTTTAAAGGCCTCATAGTAATTAGTTGCTTAGGGCTTCAAAATTCTCAGGGCCGATCATGTTAATGAGTATTTCTATGGAGGTATTTTCTTCTTTCTTTTAAGCTTAGCATAATGCTTTGGTTCTTCACGTCAGCTCCCTCTTATTTCTAGTTCAAACACATTAAATCTTGTCAAATGTTCACTACCCTTTCTGATATGCATAATATACAGTAAACTCTAGTCCAAGAAAATTCAAGAAAAAAAAGCATCTAAATTTCTTGCATAAGACTCGATAGTACTAAAGAAGAAAAAGAAGTTAAAATCTTATTAGTTGTACTGAACATGCACATACATTGTTGAAATTCACGAATTTGAAACTCATTTCTAGAGAAAGGAAGTACTAGATACATATAAACAGAACCAGCATTTGCTCTCCTGCATTTTAGTTTGCACAAAGAGAGAAGTTCCCTCTTGTCAAAATTTTCTATATCCTCATCTTATTATCGCAGGTTTCACCAATAATTCACAGTGATTTTGTCTTTCCTATAGATTACCAAGATTTCTGCTCGAATTAGGATTGATGAAAGAAAGTAATAAAAGCGACTATTTAGTTTATCTGGACCTCCTCAACCAGAAATTAAATAAACTTATATCAGTTCTTTTCACTTTCATTTCTGTTGATGGACCACAGCTTACTGAACATACTTTTAGATCTGTTGGGCTTGGAAGAATTTTTCATCACTTCGGATAAGTTTTGGTCTAAGTCCTCATCTTCAGCCACCCTCATCTTAAGGGTCGAAAGGTTTGACTTTGGTGAGTTGAGCCCGGCCATACTCCATTTGTCTTCTGGTGCCACCGCTACGTTGGCTCTAAAAGAAGCTTTAATCTTTGATGGGTTATTATGAGCAGAAAAAAGCTCTGAGATATTGCTCGGAAGCTCAATCACTTGGCCGCCAGACACTGCAGCACGTGCTTGCTCGAAGAAGAGAACTTGCACCAGCACTCTTAGTGGGAGCATCTCATTCTGTGCAGCATGCATACAAGCTTCCATGGATAACTTTTTGCAGTCTAACATTCGGCACAGGCGTTTCCTTTCACTTTTATTGAGTTCCAGATGTCCCTGCACGGACAATTAAACCGATATATGTGTGTCAGTTCTAACATTCCTAATCTTGAATTGCTCTATGGAATTTTCTTTCGAAATCAATTACTCGATAAAGGAAAACAGAAGAAGATAAGTATAGTCCAAGACAGATTTCTTCAAGACAAAGTAAGAATGTCATTGTATACTAAAACTCTTCTTATATGTTTCTTAAAATGGATTACACAGTACTCAACAGTATTAGGAAAAAACTTTATAATCAAATTTTGTGTACCAAACATGCACTTCATGTAAAATATTTAGGCATTAATAATAATTAAAAGCTACAACAATATGACATCAGGATATAGATTGTTTCAATATAAATCGGGAGACAGAAGAATACGTGTGTATTGGGACATATGCTCGACAAAAGTGTCTTTTATTGGCGATTATGGAATTAGATGACCATGAATGATAGAAAAGAAGATATTCTTATTTGTTTATATTAATTCTACCTTTAGATAGATGTCAATAGCTTTGTAGAGGTCATCATGGTCGAGCCTTGCGAATTCTGGAACTGCTTCTGCAACGGCAATGAACTTCGATAAAGGTAAATTTTTGTCGCGTGCTATCTCTTGAAGAAATCCGTCCACAAGCTTTGCTACCTTCAGTTTGGAACTATGTGATGCAGAAGATGATCTCCTGCTTTCTTGAAACTCCAGATCAACATTTTCGGCTGAACGAGATCTTCTCCTTTCAAAGTCCCCCTTGCATCTTGGAGGACTTGTTGGGGGACTCTGCCCTTGTAGCATAAATTGCTCAAAAATGTTCATAACGAGATCTACATCAAATATAACGCCATTTGTGTTCGATAAAGATGGGATTAACAAATCTCCAACTGTGGCTTCTTCCAATTGAACTGAAACCCTTCTTGCCAATTCCCTCTTTGAAGAGGATGATGCTTTTAGTATATTGGCTGCCTTCAACAATTTCAAAAGAAAACTGCACGAAGCTGAGCCTTTCTCTGGTGGCAGTAAACTAACAATCAACTCCAACAACAGCCGATGTTTAGAAATCACCTCCCCATACGAGACCAAATCGTGATCAGATTCTGCCTGTTTCTCAATATGCAAGTACTTTGATATGTTCGGTAGCCAACGTGATGCATAAATTCGCAATGCGTCTCCAATGAGATTCGAGGGGACCTTCCCACCTGCTTTCAGGGCAATCACTGTTCTCCAATAAAGATCTATCCCCAATTCTGCTAAATCTTCTGCCCACCAGCCTTTACTTGTACTTTTATCCCTCTGGCTCTCTGATCCATTACAGGACACATTATCTCTACCTCTTCTCGAATAACTATGCGATAAACTCACCTTTGAGGGATGGGACGAAACTTTTGAAGCAATGGCTTCAATACATCGACTCGTTATTCCAAGATCCTTAGACCACAATGGGGAAGATTTGGTACATTGTAAAGTTACAATAGAGTCCCTCCATCCATGAAGTATGTAAGAATTGAAGAAAACTTCGATCTTGTAAATTAAATTACCCTTCTCAACATCCTCTGTCATTTGAAGGTATTCTGCAGCACATCGAACCGATACGATGTTGTAGGCACTGAGAGTAATTATGATTCCATAGCAGAATTTTGCACAGAGCTCAAATGCTTCCACTCCACCAGGAAAATCAGGGAGTTGGACTATTTGGTTCTGTGAGGATTCAGGGCTTCCTGAACATAGTCTCTGCAGGCACAGGCACTTGGACAGCAGGGGAAACTGTATTGTAAATTAAATTCAAGCTATCAGTACGGGTTTGATACACAAGACTGTACAGTATTTATAAATAATTTAGCTTATTTTACTTATTAATAAATTACGGACAAGAATCATCATTTACATGAATTAAATAACTTTGTTTCATAAATCTTCACTCATATATTCAGAAGTGCAAAAACATTTTGAGAGAACTCACCTTGTGAAGTAAATATCTGCTTCCCTTCACTTGAATTGTAAGATCACTGGAAACCTCAGATGACACGGACCTGGATCAAAAACAGAAAATTTTAATTTTTCTATATCAGAAATACAAGCATAAAATATGAACATCAAAATTCTCAGATTGAAGAAAAATAACTGAACTTTTCTTGAATAAACAAATGCCATTTTTAATTACAAAATCAAGAAATAACAAAAAGAACAAGAAATGAAAGTACCTCACAGCCTCAGTACTATAGAAAGTATCAGGGCGAGATCCAAGTTTCATAAACTTCATTTCTGAGTCTTGTTTATGCTTCTAAACCTAAGTATTTCCAACAAGGAACAGAACCACCCTAGGAGACTGAGACAAAGAAAAAACCAACTTCAAACTGTGGAAACCTTCAATTTTTAAGACACCACTACCTCGAAAAGTTCTACCTCCAGCTGCCAGCAATAGATGTTGTCGGAACCACTAACAAACTCCTGTATTTATTTTCCCCAAGATTGGTAAAAAGTAAAAATAAAGTAATCTCACAACTAGAATTTGAAGAATCTTTAATCTGAAGAAGAAGAAGAAAAAGTGCAGATTTTTCAAGAAATTCAAGAAAATTACATAAACGTTTTTGTTGCTTCAGTAAAAAAATCTATCCAAAGCAAACAAAATCAATGAAATATTATGCATTAACATAGTCCGTATGTATCATACTATCATATGTCACCCTTCAGGGAGAGTAGAAAAAAGTATGCAGTAGTGCTCAAAATAGGAGTGACAGAATAAAATATGAAGCTTTAAGGTTGTTTTGTACTCACAAAAACTAACGGCCAATCATTCCCTGGCGACTGGTTTTTCTTTTTTCAACTTCAGAGGCAATACTGAAATGTATAATAAATGAGATTTTGACTTATTTTCTTCTTTTTAACTTAATTTGTTGATAGCCACCACTGAAGCCTGCAGGCAATGAGAGGAAGTCGATGTCCATGTGCTTATGCTTCCCCTACTTGCATTCCTCTCTCTCTTTCTCTCATTATTGCCACAACAATTTTACTAGAACCATTCTTCACCTTGCAAGATTATTTTAGTCAAACCCTAATTTATATAATTGAGATTGTATGTCACTATATTGGTTAATTACATAAATGGTTACTAAACTTTGCCACATGCTACTACTTAATAATTGAACTTAAAAATGTATCTCAACGATCACCGAATTTTGCTAAGTATTATTACTTCATAATTGAACTTAAAAATTTATCTCAATGGTCACTGAACTATGCACCATGTTGTTCATCTATTACTTAAATGGAAAAATCTGTTAAGTTCAATAAACGGCGTCGACTTGAGTGAACACTAATTTATATAATCAAGATTGTATGCCACTTTACGGGTTAATTACATAAATGGTGACAAAACTTTGTCATATGTTACTACTTAATAACTGAACTTAAAAATGTATCTCAACAGTTATTGAATTTTGCTACGTGTGACTACTTCATAATTGAACTTAAAAATGCATCTCAATGGTCATTGAACTAAGCACAGTGTTACTCATTCATCACTCAAATGAAAAAATCAGTTAAGTTCAACAAACGACGTTGACTTGAGTGATGAATTTGTAATATAGTGCCTACTTTAGTGATCACTGACATATATTTTTTAGTTCAGTTTTGAAGTGATAACATTTAGTGAAGCTTTGTGATCATTGAAAAATATTTTTTTGTTCGATTATTAAGCAGTAACAATTTATTTTTTCGTCAAATCGATCCCTATGAAAGAAGAAATTAAAGAAAATGAAGGGAAAAAAGTTGAAAAATCAAATTGACCTCGCCGACATTGGCATTAATTCAAACATTTTTGTATTTTTTTTAATTTTCTCTATCATTTGTTTTCAACGTCCTACTATTTTTCTTTCAATCGTTTTATACGAAGTTCTAGATACGGTAAACTGCTACCAATTAATCTGAAGATCAAACGTACTTTTCATCATGATGGAGATTATTTATCAAATGAAAATAGAACATTTTTCCCTTCATTTTCTTTTGTTTCTTCTTTCACAAAGGTTGATTTGAAGAAAAAAAATTGTTACTAACTAATAACCAAACTTTAAAATGTATTTCAATGGTTACTAAATTTCGATAATTGTTACTACTTCATAATCGAATTGAAAAATGTATCTCAATGGTTACCAAAGTATGCAACGTGTTACAAATTCATCACTCAAGTCGACGTTGTTTGTTGAACTTAACAGATTTTTTCATTTGAGTGATGGATGAGTAAAATTGTGCATCGTTCAGTGACCATTGTGATACATTTTTAAGTTCAATTATGAAATATTCACACTTAGCAAAATTCAGTGATCGTTAAGATACATTTTTAAGTTCAGTTATTAAGTAGTAATATATAACAAAGTTTTGTAATCATTCACGTAAATTTATTTATTTATTTTGCTAAAGTATGTTAAAAGATATGATAATAAAATTGAAAGGTGAAGAGGATTGTAGTAGATAGTAGGATGCTGATATTGTGTATGGTGTTTAGCATAATCACCCTATTATTTTTTCTCCATGAGTGAATGCATGAAGGTTCATGCAAATTCAATACATTTGTTTACTTGTGTGAAACCAAGAAAAACAATTTGGCATATAATCGTGGCTTGCTAGTTTGATGTAAACATTTGTTTCTAATTATCAACGGATGCAATCCATTGGTAATATTCGGTACATCACCTACGAAATATCCATAGGTGAAATATCCAAATGTTAAACGGTTACATGAGACACGGAATATCCGTTGGTAAAGAGATATCATCGTTATCAACAAAAAATTCCTTGTAGATTATCGTAGCTGAAAGTGAATAATTTTTACCAACGGATAATTCGTTTCTAATTACCAACGAATCCATCCGTTGGTAATTTTTCGTTGGTGAAAAAATGTTTTTTAGTAGTGCCTGTATCATAGGGCTAAATTATAGGATTAACGTATGCTAAATATACTGTACAAATACTACCATTAAAAAATGAATGAAACATACCATTTTCCATTATCTTCTGCTGTATCATTTATGGTATCAAAGCAAATATGCTCTAAGTATAAACGTTTCTAGGCCAAACCTTGTTCATACTCCACCTTCCAATCAAAATGGCTGAAAATTCCCAAAACTCTACAACCTCAGCAACTTCTATTGTTGGGGTATAACATTCTGTCACAAAGTACTGCACTTATTGGCCTCAATGCTGCTTCACTGATTCCTTTCAAACTCACTAGGGGAGGAAACTATACGTCCTGAAAAACTCAATTTGTTAACCTACTATTTGGATATGACCTGGTTGGATACATTGATGAGTCACATCCCTGCCAAAAGAAAAAAAAATTGCAAAAACCATCATTCAATCCTAGAATATTGCATATAATCATCACGATCTGTAAACTGTCACATGTTGGCCATCGTTAGAATTTATATTTTCTTCAAAACTGTATGTATATAATATTATAAATGAGTGATGACAATACTTCAATCTCAATATAATTGTATGCTCTAATACCATTTTAAAGCTAATGAAGTTAGATTTATTTATTTAAATTTTGTCTTGTACGCTACGATAGTAAATTTTAATAAAAGTTGATGAAATGTTTGATTGAAAATATGTTAGTCCAATGAAATGTATGGTTGAAATTAATTTTCGACTTTTGATTAGATTTTAATCCAAATTTATAGGTGAACCAAACATGGCTATATAAATTCCTAGCAGAAAACTTCCAAGAAAAATCTACTTCAAGATAACTTATATAGTTAACTAGGCTACAATTACTGCAATTTTTCAGAATAAATGCCTCTTTTAATATTTTTTGTAATTGTATAAAATCTGAAAACAAAAAAGTTATTTGTTGTGGCCTTATTGCTGTTGATGTTATCTACTTAATCATTTATGTCTTAAAGGAGTCAATCGTTAGCTGCATATGATCACATCATTTTGCTTTTCATTACAGGATAATCCTTCAATTAATTATTTCATTTTACTTTTTCATTTGCATAAAGTAGAATATGCATGTATTTGATTTAATCTATTAAACAAGTGGAATTTGCCCACAGATTATTCTGTCTGATTATTTTGTTGAAAAGTTGAACTTAAATTCTTTTGGGTTGCAGAAGCAGGGGTATTTTTACAATCGCCCTGTTAAAAGCTTTAAGAGTATCAAATTTTCATCAAAAGCATATTACATGGAATTTTCTTAATTGTTAAGTACGAGATTTCATTTAAAGCATCTTGTCCATCTATGAGGGTTTAACCTTTTAACGAGATGAATAATATGATACCAGAGACAAACAAAGGCCCTAGTTCAAATTTGAAAAATTATTAGCGTTCAATCTTTGAACAAAAAGTGCTGTTAGATCCCAATTGTATTAACTAGTTCCATGTGCAAAGTCATAGTTATTGAGTTGTAATTAAAGTCGATAGAGTTGGAGGTTGGTAGAATATGTGTTGGAGAAGTTAAAGATGGAACAAGTAGAAAAAATAGCCACAAAATTACTCGTTGACTGCGCAGGTGGCTCGACCGAAAAAAGAAAACCTTTGACACTCAACAACATCGCTTGATGCTTGAGCAACTGTTTTATTCGAGTGAATCTGTTTTTTAATTTTCTATAGATTTTAGAATTCTATTCAACATCAAACACTCCGTACGATATATGCCTAAGCCATTTTTGGTTTCTTATGTGGGTTCAATCTTATTTCATTTAAGACAACGTATTATTGAAGATCAATAACACAATCCAATGATCTCTTGATTCAAACCCAACATCGGAGCATAACAATTCCCAAATATCTTTTGCATTGTTGGTTGATCATTATTTCATGCAAGAGAACATCCTTTGAAGATAATAAACATATTCTATAGTCCTCTTGATTTAACCACAAGATCAAAACTCAAAAGATCAAACACCAAAAATCATCACCTTCTCTAGTAAGCCTTCAAAGTTCTGAAATTAAGAAGAGACAGCGGGAATTCCAGTTGTCCTAGAACGAGTTCGTTATTAGTGATCCATGTGGAGGGAAAAGAAGTCCAGATTTGTTGAAAAGTGTAGGTTGCACAATCGAAGTGATTCTTCGGTGATTTAATGGTTGAGTAGCCAGAGTCTATTAAAGTTTAGATGTGTTTGGACCAATTGTAAGTTATCTTTTATAGTGAATCGCTTTGGCAAGGTTTATCCGGAGGTTGTTGATCCCCGTGAAGAGTTCTTTAAGGAATTTTTTTCGTTATCAAATTTGGTATTATTTACTTTTATGCTTTTGATTTAAATTGCATAATTGATACTTAGGATTTAATTTAAAATTAAACTTAATTATCTAGAAATAATAATTAATGACTTGTTGCTTTTTATTGGTTGATTGTTTTAATTCCGCATTATACACATTTAGATGTTGTTGGGTTTAAACTTCGTGCTATAATCTTTCAAATGTAAATACAGATTGCACAAAAAGAGACATATTGAAGACAATATATTTTTTAATTCCCAAAGATAACATATTATTAAATTACATCATCGTGATTAGTGGATGAAATACTAGACTCGATCACCACCCCCTATGGTAACTAGAGTGGCGACCTTATGGCCCCCAGGGCACATCTCCAAGTGGTAAAAGGGGAGGGTGGAAAAATTCAACTTTGCTTGAGGCTGTCGTGTCAAGGGTTCGAATCCTGAAATATGGATTTGGTTCTTGGGTAAGTGCAAGTGTACAAGCAGCCTTCCACCCTGTACCCTTGGAGGCATAACCTACGATTTACCTCCCTCACGATGCTCCAG